ATAGTTTGTCAATAAGTTCATAGGCTCATTGTAATATACTTTCTTGTAGATCAATTTCATCAGTTTCTGTTTCTTGTATAGGCAAAATAGTTTTGATTAGAAAAGTAGCCTGCCTTCTATATAGTAATTGAAAAGGAGTATATCCAGTAGTATCATGCTTTTTCGTACGATAGGCTAAAAGAACTACATTAAGATGAGTGTCCCAATCATCAGAATCTTTAACTTTAGCAAGAGATTTACAAAGTATTCTATTAAATTATTCTACAAGTCTATTAGTTTGTGGATAATATAGTGATGAAAAGTGATGCTTAATTAAGAACTGTTCACACAAGATTTTGATTAAGTTGTCTCTAAAGTTGGATCCTTGATCGGATAGTATAATCTTGGGTACTTCATGTCAACAAATGATTTTCTCAAAAATAAATTTTGTGAGTACAAATACACTAGCATCAAATACAGCTCTAGCCTTAGGCCACTTAGTAAATACTTAGTAGCAACAATAATATATTAATGGTTTTGCGAAGTGATAGGTAGAGGTCCAACCAGATCAATTCTAATTTGTTCAAAAGCTTTTTCTACTTGAATAGGATATAATCGATCTGTTTTCTGATTCTTTTCTCAATATTGACAAGTATCACAGGTTCAAATATAGTTTCTAATATCTTTATATATATCATCTCAATAATATCATTCTATCACTTTTCCAAATACTGCATCAACACCTAAATATCTAGCAGTAGGATGATTATACATCATAAATAATACCGGTTCAACTTTATTCTACTTGATTACACATAAAAGTTTGGTTAGATCCTTTTTAGTTTTCTTGTATAATAGTCTATTCCTTGTACAAAAATATTTAGTACAAGATAAAAATTTTTTCTTTTCTGTTTCTGTATAATATGAAGGTAATTTGCCTGTTTCTAAGTAGTCCACCAAGTATTGATAAAGATTTAAATATATGATGTAGAAGTAGTGTTTGGGTTACTGATTCTAGGTTTAAGTCTGAATAAAGCATCAATATTAGAGTGAATACGACCAGGTTTGTGAAGAACTTCAAAATTATAAGGTTGCAGTTTCATAATCCATCGACCAAACTTTCTTTTTAGCTCTTTTATTTTTAATCACTGAAGAGCAGAGTGATCTGTAACAAAAGTAAAAACAGAAGTTCCAAGATATTTGTAGAAGTATTCTATAGCCCACACAATACTAGCATATTCAAGTTCAATAGCAGCATAATTTTGTTTCTCTTTTTTAAGACTTTTGCTAGCATAAACAATAGGATGTTCTTTTTCTTTATCATTCTTTTGACTAAAGATAGCTTCAAACCCTTGATATGAAGAGTCTACGGTGAGAATAAATCTTCTTTTAAAATTAGAATACACAAGGATAAGAGTAGTGACTAACTGTTGTTTTAGCTCCTCAAAGGCTTTTTGTTGCTTAGCTTTCTATTCGTAAGGTTCATTTTTTTGAAGCAATTTATTTAAAGGATTAGCAACAGCTAAAAAGTTACTAATAAATTGAGGTAATATCTAGCTAGTTCTAAGAATAACCGAAGTTTGGTAATCCCAGTAAGTAAAGCAATATTTTGAACAGCTTTTATCTTTTTGGGGTCAGGTGCAATTCCTTTTTTATTTACAATATGACCAAAAAAGGGTAGTGAAGTCATCCAAAACTTGCATTTTTCAATATTAAGTCCAAGACCTGCTTTTCTGATTCTTTGAAATATAATTCGAAAGTGGTTTAAATGTTTTTCAAAAGTTTGTAAGAAGATATTAGTATCATCCAAGTACACAACTACAAACTTCCAATTAATATTCTGGTAAACATGATTCATAAATCTTTGAAATATAGCAGATGTATTGCAAAGACCAAATGGCATAACATTGAACTCATAAGTGCTATAATGAGTTACAAATGCAGTCTTTTTCTTATTTCTAGAGTCTATTTCTACTTGCCAATATCTACTAGCAAGATTTAGGTAAAAAACCACTTAGCTTCTGACAAAGTATTGAGCATTTTATCAATACAAGGAAGGTGATAAGCATTCTTTTTAGTAACATTATTAAGTTTTCTATAGTCCACACAGAACCGTAGTTTTCTATTCTTTTTTTTGACAAGAACCATAGGTGAAGTCCAAGGGTTTTTAGAATACCGAATCAACTTATTTTTTAATATTCTTTTAATTTCTTTTTTGATAAATGCTTGTTCATCTGGAGAAGCAGAGTAAGGTCTAGATTTTATTAGAAACATATCTTCAGTATAAATTCGATGCTTTATAACATCAGTTCTTTCTAGTTTATTGATATCCTTGGCAAATAAATCTGCAAATTCATCTACTATAATTTGCGGCAAATAGTACCTCAGGTTTCTTACATTTCTAGACCTTAAAAATTAAATAGTATCCTCCTTGGGACCATCAATTGACTATATAATTTAACTAAATTGATGCTAAATTAATGGTGGGTGGGTATTTTAACAAGGGGTACTATTTGCCACAAATTACAGTAATAATTTCTTAAATTGTTTGCTTTGTCCAGTTGTAAGTTGACCTGTTTCTACATAATCTTCTGAAGTTAATAAGTACTCTTCTTCTAGTTCTAATTGTCCAATAGTATAGACTTTCTGAGAATTTAATCCTTCTTTTTGAAATTCTGTTTCTTCTGCAGTTTTAGGTTAGGCAAAGTATTCAGAATTGGTTTTGTTTTCTATTCCTTTCTTCTTGCTATTGGGTTAATTTTATACAGTCCTAATACAAAGAGAAGAGTAACTGGCTTAACTGTTCATTTTTCTTTTGAAGTTGTAAAATTTGTTGTGCTTGCTGATTTATAGTATCTTGTAGTTTAGGCTCTTGTTCTGGTTTTTTTCTTTTTTGTGAACTAGTAGATAGCTTTGTTTGCTTCTGATAGCATTCGTTACAAAGATCTTGATTGAGCTCTAGTTCAGAAATATGTTTAGCAAACAAACAATCTAAACATAGAGCTACTTTGCCTTCAAAATTAGCATGCAAGTTGGCAATAGCTTGTTGATAATCAAAATCAGCATTCGATAGATCAAAAGACTCAGCTAAAATTTGGTTTAGTTGTTCTTTATTAGTAGTTAATTGTATTTTACCAACACAGAAGAGCAGAGTTAATTCTTTATTTGTAAACTCTCTATTAAATCTATCTGTTTCTTGTTTCTCTTCTGCTTGAGCAACGCTTTGAGATGTTATGCCAAGCAAGGTTTGAGCTAATTGGTAAATACTATCTTGGTTCATATCATAATAACTTCTAGCACTTTTGTTAGACTCGGTATAATGCTTAACTCTGGTTCACAAGTCATAGTTTGAGTTATACTTGATATCTTCACTAGCTTTGTATGTATATATATGCTCAAAGCTACAAAACCAAGTTCTATTTGGCAAATTATACATGTTGTGTTTAGGATTTTCTTTTTCACATACTATGCATTTAACTAAAGTTCCTCTTTCTAATTCTTGTTCATAATAATAATGGCTTCTGGGGTCTTCTTGATTCAAATTTTTATGATAGTCCTTATAGCATGCTTTGCAGACTAGAGTCTCTTCTAGTAGTATTAATTCATTACCAAATTGAGGATACTTGCATTGACAGCAATGATATTTTTTTTTTGACTATGATAATATACTTTTTGGTTAAAAACTTCCTTTTCATTACAACCACATTAATATCTTTTATTTGCTTGTTCAAGTTTATTTCTAGAACAATTAGCACTAATATGTCTTTTGTTATTATACTTTCTATATTTATTTTCTGAACAATCTTTAAATTGATGACTTGATTGACCATATTTAGCACAGGTAATATATTTAGGTTTTTGGTAAGGATATTTAACAGCAATATATCTATATTTATCACATCACCAACATTTATTATATTGGCAATCTTCAAAGTAGTGATCAGTTTGTCTACAGGTTCGATATCTCTAGTTTTTCT